ACTGTGGAACGGTAATCTCGGATTGGGGAAGAGCAGGCTGGTTTCCGCCCTGAACGTGGCTGTATAGACCATATATTCACTCGGCGGCAGGTGCTAGAGCAGCGCCACACGTAATGCCGACCGACAATAGCTGCGTTCCTCGATTTCAAGAGTGCGTTCGATTCAGTCGATCGTCGAGTCTGTTCGAAATGCTTGCGCGGAAAGGTGTTCCCACGAAATATGTGAATATCCTACTTGCTCTATACTCGAATACTACAGGCCGCGTCAGGGTCTATGGTGCCCTATCGGATAGCTTTCCGACTACATGTGGCGTTCGCCAGGGTTGTCCGATTTCCCCGTTTTTGTTCAATTTCCTCGTGGATTCTATCATGGAGTGTTTCCTTGCGGAATCTCACGATGTAGGCTTTGAGCTCCTGTCTGGTGAAAGATTAGTTGATCTTGATTATGCGGACGATATCGTCTTGCTTTTCGACCATGTTGCGATGGCACAATCAAGCCTGAATAAGCTATCTAGAATGGTCCCATTATTTGGTGTGCTCTTCGCATTTTCAAAGTGCAAAGTGTTGCTGCAGGACTACTAGTCACTTTATAACCCCTTGACCCTTGGTAACGTAAAACTCGAGGTTGTTGATCAATTCACTTACCTTGGCAGCTGCATCAGCAATGATGGGCGCATAGAAACTGAAGTCGTTTCATGGATTACAAAGGCTAGAACTGCCTTGTTGAACCTGCGTCATCTTTGGCGACAGAAGGGAATTTCCCTCCGTCTGAAAGGCCGTATATACAATGCCACCATGAGGGCCGTCCTGGTCTATGGTAGTGGAACATGGCCCTTTCGGTCTGAAGATCTGAGGCGCCTTCAAGTCTTTGATCATCGTTGTCTGCGCAGTTTTGCTAGTGTCGGATAGCATCAGTGTGTCCGCAACGATGATGTGCGTAAGTGGGCTTTAGGTAGCATGCTAGCTTCCTAGAACAACGGATAGCACTGAATAAGTTGCGTTGGCTTGGTATGTGCTACGTATGGCTAGTCGCCGCTTACCTAGAAGGGCCTTGTTTAGTCTGCCAGATGTAGGGTGGTGCAAGGCTCGCGGTGGACAGAAGTTGACTTGGCAGCGGGAAATGAAGTCACTGACGACCAAACTGGGTGCCCTTGGTCCTTCTCGACTTCCGGGATGGAGTTCACGTAACTCGCCTTGCGCTTGGCTCGAGACTTTACAGGACATGGCTCGCAACCGACACCAGTGGCGCATCTGTTGCCGTCTCCAAGTCGGAATGTCTGTTTAAAGTGTGTTTGGTGCTGAGTTATCTGCAGGGTAATGGCTGATTATGACGCAGGGCAGTGAAAGCCACAAGGAAGCTGTCTCGCCGATGCCGCCTTATCTTGGTACGATAGCCAGCTGTTTGTGACGGAATGTTGTCTACACAAGGTGTAGGCGCCTTGACCCTGAATGTTTGCTTAGGGCATTAAGTTTTTCCGGTAACTCCCCTTCTCACCCTGTTATTATTCTTTATTCTATAGTTCATCATGGTTGTATGGCAGCGAAGCATCAGTTCAAATGGCTGATGTACTGTTGTTGTTGTTGTTGTCGTTGTTGTCATCGTCGTCGTTGTTGAAACGTAACACTGCACGTTTCAATTTGCTGTCCCTGAACTGTACTTACGCCTTGCTATTTCTCACACACCCTTAAGTCATCATTGTAATTACCCTTTCCCCTAACAACTCTGTCGGTTATCATCTGCTACGATACTGCCTCTGTCGCTTTTTGACGTTTTACTTATCTCTTAAGATATTAGTGTTGCGATGTACTGTGGCCGATCTCCATATGTTTTGAGGATATCCAGAGGCTAGTCCATGTTCTCCAAATCGCCCAACAATCTTTAGCGGGATTGTGTCATTTCTAGCGGATGATTATATGATCAAGTTTAATTCTTGACATCGTTGATGTTTTCGAGCTCTAGGTGAGAAATGAATTCGTATTTTGGAATATGGTGCTGCTGACCTCAAGCTTGCGACTTTCTCTTAGTTCGGGAAACTTATCGTTGTCAACTGTCCGGCATAGTTGCCTGCATCCGGTTTCGGATTTGCCTGTCACTGTGGCCAGCCACAGGACGCCTGCGCCTACACAGGGACCATAGGTGGCTTACGCTGCACCACCCACAGCACACATCCCATATCCAGTGTAAACCCTAAGGAATAATATCAGGATGCATGTGGATGGGAGCCACGTTTAATCAACGGAGCCGGCCCACACCCCTTCACAGGCAAACATAGGCACGCTGTATTTGGGGAATCAATCGCATACAAGGCGGTGGCTGGACCGTAGTCCGCTCCACACTGAGTGCATGGAATCACGATTCGAGCCTAGCCCGGCCCTAAGGACCGTGCACCACGTCTCCTCCAGCAACGACCAACTGTCTCCTGGAGCCAGCATGGACGAGGTAGTGGGTAATAGACAGGTAATCCGCTTATCAACGTGCACCTCAAGCGCAACCACACCGGGGATATCCAGCAACAGCCAATCACTTGAAATAACATTATCAACTAAAATACATCGGTTAAAACAGATGGCTATACCGACATAACTCTTCCCTAGTTTAGCATATGAAGTAACTTGGTTAACAATGAATCCGCGATAACTTCAAAAGGCTACACAAGTTATTCCAAGAATTGCTACAAACAACTTAACTTAACAACAATAAACTTAACAATTTGCGTAAGCATCATGTGCAAGTTAATGGAAGACTATTCTGGTAAGCAGAACGAACATAATAAGGTGGATCGAAATCTTGCCTGGCTTACATACTAACCTAGCAACAGTCAAACAAATGGCGTATTTGGGAATTCATATCACCAGTTTCGATACAGGTATCCTTATACTTCACTGCACGAGTATGCAATGAGACCTGCCTATGTGGGTGCTAGGTTCAGGTTCAAAAACGCTATGTCACCTTTTCATTAATTTTATTCTCCGGTTATTCGGTGTCACTTAGTTTAGAAGAATCAGATAGTACGAAGCCACACGTAATCATTTTACTGGCGCAAAAATGCTAGCGGAGAGGACTATGAAGCCGCAACGCATTCCACGTCTCGTGATAATCTTAGTCAAATCGACCGTCGCACTATTCATCGCATCTTAATGAAACGCTCATTTACTGGAAAATATTTCTGTGGTCCACTCTTCATCATGCAGCTGCTTTGCAGTTTTTGACTATCCCCTGAACTGACAGTAGCTTTCTACTTGATGACGTACCCATGTTAATGGGAAAAACTTCCCTCACTACGAACTCTGATGTTCTTTAAGGAGCCACTGTCCCCACACTTATTTTCCACTTACGTTACCTCAATCACCGTCCATGAAGAAGCCCTCTTGCTGAACTAAGTGGACGACGTAATCCTTGGCGTCCATCTTCCAAGCATAGAGTCGTCGGTCAAACTTCACACCCTTCTGGACAACTTCGCAGCTTGGTTCAAGTCTCGTTGCCTACTGCTAAAGCCCGCAAAATACAAGGATATCACTCTTTTGCTATGTAAAGGAAATCGCTATCAGCAGATCCTAACGCAATATCCGCAAATTTGCATTGACGATGAATCTTAGGCCTCTTCCACTTCAGTACAATACCTGGGCGTGACACCAAGTTGTGGGCTTACTTGGTCCCTTCGCGTGAACGAAACATTCACTAAAGTTCGAAGACTCATTCAGTGTTACTCGCCTCATGTCTACTTCTGTACCCGACTTTTTATTCCAGTGTTTTAGCTAGGTATGTGTGTAAACGTACTGGACCTATTACTCTCCCATGATGTTACCTGGTCTGAGTAAGGACCTCAAACTAATCGCCAGATCAGTGAAGCATCTATCCCGGTGTAATGGTATTTCAAGCTCGGAACTTGTCCACATCATAGTAGCTAGACGTGCCAACTTCTGCAACAAGCGTGCATTTAATGTACTCACTGATGTTAGCCACCTCCACTGAGCGTTGTTCGTGTGCACATCAACCTCCTCGACTAGATAGAGCTACCAAACTATATACGCCTGCACAAGCGCCTGTGGTACATCAGTAGTTATTAGCTTGTTACCTTTTTTAGATCATAAAAATACAATCATTCACGAACTGGTTGGTAAATTACTATAGTGATATTTAGTTTGTCAAGTTTTTGTAACGATTGCAGTTTTATATCAATCATTATGTACTATTCGTTTTCATATCTATTCCTGTACGCGGCGTCTGTTTTAGAATTGAATATTCGCCCTTCATGGGTGCATAAAGCACATAATTGGCTAATGTAATCACCCGCTCTATATAAATGCGCCCTTCACGCCTATCTTCATCCATTTTGTCCTAAGGCATCGCTCAAACGTTGATGCACCCCGATCGCAGTCCTCTAATACCTCCACATCAACTTTCCGCTCAACTTGTGGCCAATTTACGCGAACTCCTCAATCGTTCCATTGCGCCGAAACAAAACACCGCTGCTGAGGTAGCCGCAGTCGCATTGTTCGGATTAAAAGTGGCAAATTTTCTTTGCGACTCCTCCGAATACGTCCACGCCTATAAGGCTGCAAAGGCAGTTCTCGAAGCTGTGCGTTCTTTCTTTGGATTATCACAACACCCCATTCCCCTGATCCGAGTGGAGTATGAAGTACTGTGCATGTAAGTCCACACACAAAACTCTGTGCTTGTGTGTGTTGATGGTATCTCCATAAAATTAGTCTCACGTCATCACTTTGATTTATCCGCGATATTGTCCTTATTTGATTATGCACTTGTTTTTCGTTGTCATGACGCTGTGTTTTGTTACTATCTACTGCACAAAACTGCGACTGCTGTCACCATCACACCACCATCGTCACCACGGTACAGACCTTACCCTGGCATACAAATCAGGTCAAAATAGGTCTTATGCACCCAAACGGGTGCATTTACACTATCACTGCGGATGCACTGAATGATGGGACCAGTTAAAATATACAAGTGCAAATTGAAGAACTGAAATAGAAAAAGGTGTGTAGATATCATTCAGGGAGCCGCATGCGCACACCTAACTTTCCTTGCATCAACAAGAAAACGTGACAACTAAGGTAAGATTGTGTTACGATACGAATAAGTGCGAGAGAATAAAATCCTACATTTTGAGCGCCTGTAAGAAACGGATAACGTTCGTGAGAGAGCATTATTTAGCGGATGAAAGCGGTCACTTAGAAGAGAAATTCATGCACGTGTCAAAATGCTTATGAATAATTTATGCTACTATGACATCTCTAGGCAAGCCGCTACATCTGGACATACCTTTAATCGATCATACAATCAGAACCATGTCCTTTTGCAGTAGTCCACGGAAGATTAGCGGGGAACAGTACAACGAGTGGGGTAATATATATGCAATTATACATCACACATTTAACTCCACGGCACGGAGAGCTTCTTAAGTCGGTATGCATAAAAAGAAACCTTCCAATCTTGTGAAATGTTCCCCAAACGTGCGGGGGCCAAGAGAGGTTTTGGACAAATGGACACCGAGATATTTGACAGTGCATGAAATAGGCATCGTATTACCCTTCAAGATTAATGAAGGTGAAGCATATCAAATTACTCACAACTTATCAGGGCAGGGAATTGAAAATATTACATTAGTGCATTCTAAGGAAATAAAGTTAGGGAATTTGGATGATGACCAACTCACAAGTCCCTCTAAATCACACAAAGCGTAGGCATCTCAACATAGGGGGCCTTACACCTCAGGACAACATCGTCAGCATATGTACATCCAAGGAATATTGATGGTATGCGGAACATTGATTCATACAAAGCATGAAAGGGTTGAATGGGTCGCGTCCTGCAAAACGCCACGGTCAATGCGAAGCATGGAGGAACTTTTGCCGTTTAACTAAGCAAAGTGCGTACGATTGGTGAAATAGTCACGCGGCAACTTGCAAACATCCAGGTGGACCCCATTCAACTGCCAAATAGTCAAAGATTTTCAGTTTAACAATTGTGCGAAGAGACTTCTTTTCGATAAATAACATCAGGCATCTTCAGTTATAGAGCAAACTGTGGCACGAATAAACTTGTGAAAGTCTTGATAAAATAGTATAAAGGAACATGGAGGAAGCCACACTTCTTTCCAACTGGTTACCTAAACATTATGAAATCTAGATCCATAGTATGCTCAATCAGACTAGGTGGCATACGCAAATGCACGTGACCAACGCTGGACAATTAATGCTGGAGCGGCTTTATGGTCAGGGCAACGTCAAAGCTTGTACCAGAGTTCGCTGTTTGCACAGTTCTGGTTTCAAAACTCTGATCGCGATGGCCTCGGCGATGAGTAATAGATGTTTCTTGAGCATTTTTGGGTAACGTCTAGGGATGGTATAGACCACTTTAAAGGACTCATTCATCCGAGCTTCATGACCAGTTTCAACCAAGTGTTGTAGAATGGAACTATTCATGTTCTTCACCGTGCCCTTTCGCAGCGACTCAGAATAGTGCTCAACGATCCATTTGGACAAGTACCTGGTCCTATGTCCAAGGTAGTTTGCACCACAAGTGCAAGTGAACTGGTATACGGTGAAACATTCGGACCGGACCAGGAGTTTATCCTTTAGTTACTGAAGCATTTAAGTTCTTGTTTCAGCAACTAGCTTTAGCTTAGCAGATGGATATGCATGGGCCACTGCGGATGAAAGCTTTTTGTTCAACAGTTCGAAGGCAATGTCACCTTTAAAAGGAACCTTAAGGAAGACATCCTTCGTTGGCACTATAGCAACAGAGTTTGCCGAATCAGGTGGAGTGGAATGCTTTTTAATGAATTGGATGGGATAACCGTTTTATTGCGGAGTGCTGAATGTGAGGTTTGTTTCACTTTCAACACTTCTGCACTAAAATAGCCAAAACCTGACATTCCGTGATTGCCTTTGTATTGACATCGAATCTCCACCAATCGAACGTTTAGGACAATCGTTCACATAATCGGTGTTTTGCGCTACGTACCTTCCGGTTGTCCCATATTATATACTTCGATTCTTCACTTCTGTTTCCATATGAGCTACCCTAGCCTATGGTTTTGCGTCAACTACCAACTGTTCACCTGTCAGATTAGTCTCTGTTGCGTGAACGTTCGCTTCGAATCACTTTATGACAGCAAATTTTCAGGTCGTCAGATGGGACCTTGTCGCGTGACTGATGCATCTATGTTGGATTTTCGTTCACCGCTTCTACCCCTGCATTGATCACTACTACGATCGATTTATGCTCACTTCGTCACGCATTCGTTCACGACATTGACAATACTGGGCGGTGGTTTTCTGCATCCAGCGTCGTCTCACTGGAACTAAAGTTCTGACTCATTCGTCAAGTTGGCTACTTGATGAGCTACGTGGCTTCATCCGCCATCCCTGCAGGAGACCGTGGATTCGTGAAATTTACTACGGCACGCATCCCACGACAAGTGCGCACAGAGTTTAAGTGCGAGAGGCTCTCGTTTGAGGGTTGTGCCCATCATGTACATGCTATATATATATATATATATATATATATATATGTATATACAAACTTTCAGGCGCTGGGTTTTCAATATTGTTCTAGTGCTTTTTATGTCATATTAATCTCTACCTGAGCTATCTTCTATTAACTTGCACACGTCGCTTAAGCTGGTTGTGGTTAACTTGGATAACATTTTCGCCTTTGTGTCATTTCCTTAAAATATATTTTCTAACGTCTTGAACCTATCACGGATTTTTGTTAATCAATTTCTTTCATATGCTTATTTAATGAAGATTTGTCACAGTATGTGTATGTGTTATTGGATTTATTTTACTTGTTATCGTCGTTTCAAGTGATTGGCTGTTGCTTGATATCCCCGATGTGGCTGCGCTTGATGTGCATGTTGACAAGCTGTCTATTATCCACTACCTCGTCCATACTGACTCCAGGAGACAGTTGGTCGTTGCTGGAGGGGACGAGTTGCACGGCCCTTATGGTCGGACTAGCCTCGAATCGTGATTCCATGCACTCAGTGTAGAGCGGACTACGGTGCAGCCACCGCCTTGTGTGATCTTGATTCCCCAAATCCAGCGTGCTTGTGTTTGCCAGATTCATTGATGAAACGTGGTTCCCATCCACTTGCCTCCCGGTCTTATTCCTCAGGGTTTACACTGGATATGGGGTGTGTGGTTGGAGCTGTGGGTGGTGCAGCGCAAGCCACCCATGGTCCGTGTGTAGGCGCAGGCTTCTTGTGGCTGGCCATAGTGACAGGCAAATCCGAAACCGGATGTTGTCAATATATATATATATATATATATATATATATATATATATATATATATATATATATATATATAACGTTTTTTCTTTAGGTATTGCTTAGAAGGGGATGCAAGTGGAGAATACGATGTGTACCAGTCTATTTTATCTCTAATCCATATCCTCAGTAGGCGACTTGTGGGACCGTATGCGAGAAAAGGTGAATGCTGCTGCCGGATAAACGATCGGGTGCGCAAACTGTAAGGAGCCCGATTGGTTTGATGACAACAGTGCAACCATTTGACGCATTGGTGTCAGAGAAAAATGCAGCGTTCGCTGCACATGTGGATCATCCTGACGACTGAGAGGTGAATCATTTTCGCGAACTTCGACGGCGATCTACTCGACAACTCTGTGGCATCAAGAATGCATGGTGGCTTGAGAAGACGAAGCTGATGGCATGCTACGCCGAACACCACCACAATAACGAATTCTTTGACTTTTTCTAGGTGGTGTATGGACATAGGTTGGAACCGCTGATGACTCTGCTCGATGCTACCTCAGGCGCTGCCTGTACACAGACTGCAGACATAAGGCAGATGTATTGAAAGCCCTTTGTTTGTCTCTTGATCAGTCGTTTGGAGCTTGACTGGACAATGTTTCACGGGCTGCAACGAGACTGGACCTTAACCTGGTGCGACGGTTTGCCTACCTCTTTGACCTGTAGGGTTATACTGCGTGTTGTCCCAGGGCCTCTTGAGAACTACTGCTACCAGGTTGGTCAATAGTTAGATTTCAGACAAACTTTGACTCCTGGTACTCCATCTTGGGGACTTGAAATAGGATGGCGTGCATTTCTGTAAAACTAAATCATTGCCACCTTCCCGTTCGCTGCCTTGCGGACAGGATTTTGAGCCAATGGTTTTGGACGAGGACCCTTATCGTCCTCCTGTCTAGGTCTGAGCATCCTGGCAGTATCGGCCCACATACAACTATGACAATTTCCCCAAATTCTAACTACATACTGCATCGGTCATCTTGCAGATTAATTAATGGTCGCTTTATTTACTGCATACAGCAGGGCGGATAAACGAAAACATGCTACTGCTGGCTCCTTCCTTCTCTCTTCTCCACTTGTTTCCCTTACTTCCTTCCCAGCCCCCATTACTAACCTTCCCTCTTCTATAGTTCCCCGCTTGGTTGACAGCAGCCGTAATGCCACTAGAGTAGAACCATCTGCATCTACCTTCTACTACCACCACTACCACCACCACAACCACCACCACCCACTTGAGGTCTGTGGGCAACATTCCCTCATAAGGCCCCACTTTCCTATTTCCCTCGCGGCGTTCAAATCTTGCACTATAAGACAAATGTTTCAACCGGCTGCATTCTCACGCACGTTAGACACACTTGGGTATTGACTTGTGTTGCGTATCCGAAATTAGTTGTATTAACTGCGTCCGGCTTGTCCTCTCGCTATTGGTTGCACCCATCCAAAGATACGGATGCGGCAGCCTGTGTTCAAGCTGTTGTTGGTATCGTACTCAGCTCCAAGGCTGTCCTCGTTGGTTGGCTGGATTCCGGTGAACAGCCGTTTGCGTACAGCCCGTTCGACGACCTCGACCAAGGTTGATTCACGAAGTACTACGAGACCCCGTTCGCTCCTGGTGTCCTCTTATCTTCCCACCGACTGCAGTTTTGATGCTGCCAAGGACACTTTCGACCACGAACTGAACATGCTTCCAGTTCAGATATCATAGTTCTTGCAGGGGATATGGATGCACAAGTAGTTCGTCTGGGCTCTTCAGAAGCCCAGCCAGATGGCAATCATGGG